TGGGTGTGTGTGTGTGTGTGTGTGTGTGTGTGTGTGTGTGTGTTGAATGTGTATGTCTAAAAACAAGGCTGTGGAAAACATCAGGTGTCCTGTGTTTTACTCTGATTCCCCTGACAAGGGTCTCATGGAAACAGGCTTGATGGTTCACAGAACCTGCTGCCCCGAGAGCTCCCGTGGGTCTGCCTGTTTTTACCGACCCTATGCTGGGGTTATAGCCTCACGCATCCATGCTTGAACTTTGGTTTGTTTTGAAACAGGATCTCCCCATAGCCCTGGCTGTCCTAGAACTCACTAAGTAGATTAGACTGGCCTCGGAGTCAAATTGTGAACGCCACACCGCTGCAACTGACTGGCTTCTCCTAATTTAGTGGTGGGAACTGAACTTGGCCTCCCTGGCTGTGGGGAAGAGCTGTACCACTGAGCTGTATTCCTATGCCCAGATTCTTAGCGTTCTCCTCTAGTTTCTGATAGTCTCTGCCTCCTGCCTGTTGGGTTACAAATGTAAATGCTATACTTGGTTTTTGTGCTTTTTCTGGGCAAAAGAAGCCCAGAGCTTTCCATTGACACAGTGTGTGTTTACATGTACAGTGGTGTATGTGTGTGTTTCAGGGGAGGGTCAGGGTTGGGACAACTTGCAGGAGTTGGTTCTCCTAGAGGGACCTGGGAATTGAACTCAGTTGTCACTGTCTACCTACTGAACCAACTCTTTGGCCCAAACCTATATAGTTCCATGCTTGCCAGGCAAGCATTCTGCATCCTATGCGATGAGCTACATCTACAGCCTGCCTCTGTGTGTGTGTGTGTGTGTGTGTGTGTGTGTGTGTGTGTGTGTGTGTTTGAGATTGTTTCTTTTGGTAGTCCTGGAACTTGGTATGTAACCAGGCTGGACTAAACTCACAGAAAACCATGGCTAGCCTCTGCCTCTCAGTGCTGGCCTGTTCCACCAAGTCTGGCATCTCCAATTCTTTCACCATTAGCTACATTGTAGCCTGCATATCATTGTTTGAAGTATAATGAGTAATTAAATTGGAAAAATTTTTGGATTGTTAGTGGCTATGGCTATCAGGTGAAATCATAGTATTTAGTGTATTATAGACAACAAAATTGATGTACTGTGTGGATTTATTGTTAGTCAATAAATTCTGATGTTTTCTAAGGACTGTGTGTATCTGTTTCTGAAAAGTGTGCTCACTGCGAGCATGTATGAGTGTTTTACCTGCGTGTCTGTATGTGTGCCATGCGCTTGCAGTGCCTGGGAAGCCAGAAGAGGGCGTCTTTCCCTGGAACTGGGGTTACTGTGAGCTCCCATGTGGGTGCTGGGAATCAAACCCAGATTCTCTTCGAGAACACAAGTGCCCTTTACCACTGAAGCATCTTGCAGTCGTTAGCCAGGCACAGAGGTGAACTCTGTCCAGCTACTCTGGGCTATCTCGCAGGGTCCCTCTGAGCTTTCCGCTGAGAGCAGTCTGGACTCTGAACTTACTGAATTTGCATTCTTCCTGCCTCAGCTTTCTTCCTAGATCGCAACCTGTATCTCTGAGTCCTGCTCTCATTAATTAACATTCACCTGGGTTGGAAAGAACATCCTTGTAGGTTCAAGAGCAACAGACTCTGGGACTCATTGTTGCCAGGGTTCATCCCCTGTGGGGCTACATCTGAAGGTTCCAGGTGGTGGCCATCAGGGTGCCTGGGATATACTCCTCATTTTTTATCCTTCCAACACTCCAAATTGCCACAGCTGGCACTCTCAGGAGCTTTCAAGGTTTGGACACAATCCACTTCTCTGAGTCGTGATGCTCTTTGCCATGGGCCCCATGATTTCACCCTCCGAAGGGCCTGGGCTGATCTAATGCCATCCGAAACACCATCTACTTTCTGGGGAGACCGAGGTTGTATTCCCTTTGTTCCACAAGGATAGTGGGCTCCAGCAGTTTTGCCTTAGTATGCTGAATGGGAGGTGTTTTATTGTTGCTGCTTCTGGACTCACTCCACATTGAGTAGGTGTTTTGGTCCTGGAACTTACTATGTAAAGCATGTTGGCCTGGAACTCAGAGGTCTGTCTGCCGCTGCCTTCCAAGTGCTGGGATTTAAAACCTTTTAACTCCAGAACACATCTGTAATTTCAGGATGGACAGAAATCCTTCTCTGTAGCCTGGTGGTGATGGCGCACGCCTTTAGTACCAGCACTCGAAGAGGCAGGGGGATCTCTCTGAGTTTGAGACCAGCCAGGTCTACAAGAGTTAGTTCCGGGACAGCCTCCAAAGCCAGAGAAACCCTGTCTCGAAGAAACAAAAAAATAATGCCAACACACACAGACACACACACACAGACACACCTGCAGGCCAGAAGAGGGCACCAGACCTCATTACAGATGATGGTGAGCAAACATGTGGTTGCTGGGAATTGAATTTATTTGAAAGAGCAGGCAGTGGTACTCTTAATTGATTACCTATCTCTCCAGCCTGAGGCTTTTCTTTTTCTAATTATCACAACAGATTAAACCTTTCGCTGGCATATTCAAAACTGTAACATTAGTTACTAATAAAACTCAACTGTGGCCGGACTGTGGTGGCGCACACCTTTAATACCGGCACTCAGTGGCAGAGGCAGGCAGATCTCTGTGAGTTTGAGGCCAGCTTGGTCTACAAAGCGAATTCCAGGACAGGTTCCAAAGCTACAGAGAGAAACCCTGTTTTGGAAAACAAAAAATGAAAGAAAGGAAGGAGGGAGAGAGGGAGGGAGGAAGAGAGAGAGGGAGGGAGGGAGGAAGGGGGAGGAGGGAGAAAGAAAAAAGAAAGGAAAAACAACAAAACACCTACTCAATGTGGAGTGAGTCCAGAAGCAGCAACAATAAAACCTCCTTACGGAATGAGTCCATAAACTGGACTTTCACCTGAGTCAGTGTGTCTTCTTTCTTGCATGGGTATATTATTAAGTCACTATCTAGATAGGATGAACTGGGTGGAGACTCAGACGTCCAACCGGATGGTAGTAGGTGGGGCTGCAAAGAGGATATGCGATGAGAGGAAAAAGGTAGACAAAAGCTCAAAGGAGTCACTTCCTGTCCTTGCTGGGATCTCCAAACCTGCCGCCAGTGTTCCAATCTGGTAAGTCACTCTCTTCTATCAGGACACTCTGTCTCACCCAGTCTAGCCACTCCACTGGGCATATGAGAGCTAAGCTGGCACAAGAAATCCTGATTTCTCTTCTGATGAGTACATTGTAGACATTGCTTTTGACTGTAAATGCGGCTCGCCTTTGTCTCAGGTATTTTGCTGTGTTTTATGTTTTTGAGGCAGGGTCTTGCTATGATAAGTGTTGTGCCTGAGTCACAAGGATCTCCAAAGAGACCAGGGAGACAGACCACCGATGCAAATGTATAAGGTTTATTAAATTGTTTATCCTACACTGAGGGAGGGACCCATCTAGCAAGCTGACACAGCAGCCTCCAGAGGGGGTGAAGTTCCCTGTCTATTGCTAGGTTTTAAAGAAAAAAGTTACAGGATTACATCAGTAGGTATGGGTTGGTTTCTGATTGGTTGACATTTGGTGAACAGTCAAGAAATTTCTCAAAGTCATATTTTGGCATGAAATACCTGTGTACCAGGTATTCTTATTGGTCGATGCTGAGAGGGAACATTCTGTAGTTCCTATGGCTTTGTCTTGTTACTTGTAGGTGGCCTGTTGTTCATGGATATCAATAGTTTTCAGAACTGTATCCTGGAGGTTTTTGGTCTCCCCTGGAGTTTCTTTTGTGGCCAAACAGTTCCCAGGATCCAAGTACCTACAAAGTTGGGGTGGGGGAGGGGTCTGGAGTTTCTTTGTGTTCAGTTTTGTCCCTGGGCTCCAGGAGGCCAGAGGATCTAGAGTTTCCTTGTGTCAGAGGCCTATGTGTCTGTTCTGTAGCCTGTCATGGCTGCTAAAGCAGAGGGCTTTAAAAATAAATTTATTTTTAAATTATTTGAAGTGAAGCCTTTGAGTTTCGTTTTTCCCTTTCAATAAGTTGTTCATACTAACCTGGGACTGGTTATGTAGCTCAGCCTGTTTGGAATTTGCCATGATCCTTCCTGCCTATGTCTCCTGAGTGTTAGAATTAAAAATGTGTGCGGCACAGTGGGGTATGCATTTGATCCTAGAGGCATCGAGGTCTTTGAATTCAAGGCTAGCCTGGTGAATTCCAGGGCAGCAGAGGTTGTGTAGAGAGACAGGGTTTCTCTGTGGCTTTGGAGGCTGTCCTGGAACTAGTTCTTGTAGACCAGGCTTGGTCTCAGAGATCCGCCTGCCTCTACCTTCTGAGTGCTGGGACTAAAGGCATGCACCACCACTGCCAGGTGAGACAGGGTCTCTGTCAGTGGTTATCAACCTAGGTGTATCAAACCCTTTGGTGACTCTCTATTTCCAGTTTTACAATTTATAAGAGTAGCAAAATTATAGTTATAAAGTAGCGATGAAAATAACTTTATGGTTGAGGGTCACCACAACATGAGGTACTGTATTAAAGGGTTGAAGCATTAGGAAGGTTGAGAACCACTGCTCCATGTAGTTCTGGCCATCCTGGAACTCTGTGTAGACCAGGCTGGCCTTAAACTCAAGAGATCTGCCTACTTCTGCCTTCTGATTGCCACCAGGCCCAATCCCCAAGCATTTTACAGTTTATTTCCTTGTTTTTAATACCAGAAGAACCGAAGGACAGGAATTCACTGTGAAGTCCAACCTGGCCTCAAAATTTGCTTTACTCTACCTGTTCCATCCTGTGTTGGAACCAAAAGCCCAAGGGACTAAGGGAGTTTTAATTAATAGAGAGACCCCTGGCTGGCCTAGAACTGTCTATGAAGACTTGGCTGGCCTCCAGCTCAAAGATTCACTTGCCTCCTGGGTACTGGGATTAAAGGCGTGCCCCACCAATCCAGCCTGAGGACTTTTTTAAAATCTTATTTTGGCTGGACAGTGGTGGCACATGCCTTTAATCCTAGCACTCTGGAGGTAGAGGCTGTCGGATCTCTGTGAGTTTGAGGCCAGCCTAGTCTACAAATTGAGTTCCGGGACCACCAGGGCTGTTACACAGAGAAACTCTGTCTTGAAAAATCGAAAACACAAACAAACAAAGCAAAACAAAGCAACAACAACAACAAAAAAGCCCACCCAACTTATTTTGGGAGCGGGCCGGAGGAAAGGCCCAGCTGTTAAGAGCACTTACTATTGAAAAGGCCTCAGGTTCAGTTCCTAGCACCCACATAGCACCTCGAAGCTGTATGTAACTGATTTCCTTTTCTAACTTCTTGGTTTACTGACTTTCTTTAGTTTTTGTTGTTGTTGCTGGTTTTACATTTCAGACTCTCTCTGTGTCAGGTTAGCATGAGTTTACAGTTTTCCTGCCTAATTCCAAATGCTGGTTCAGGTGAGGACCACCACAGCAGACTTGGGAGTATCAGAAGATAATCTAGAATGCTGCCCCAAATTCTCTCAGTTGTTCCAGACAGGGTCAGCAGGGTGGATGGACACTGGGGGAAGGTTTAGTACAGGGTGTTTCCTTTACCTCCTTCGCAGGCCTGAGTGCTAGACTTAAAAACATGCTCAGCACAGTCTATTCACAATCAAAGGACAGGCCTCAGCCTTCAGGCTCCCAGGTAACCCCTTCTCAGTGAGGATGGATTCAGGGAAACAGTGGTTGATTGGATACATAGTGGGGAATGTGGGTTCAGCACAGTCTATTCACAATCAAAGGACAGGCCTCAGCCTTCAAGCTCCCAGGTAACCCCTTCTCAGTGAGTATGGATTCAGGGAAACAGTGGTTGATTGGATACATAGTGGGGAATGTGGGTATTTGTGAAAGGATCCCCAAATTGTCATTCAGAAGGGTTTGGCCTTGAGACCAAGAGATGCTGAGTGGAAAGGACTAAACCAATGAGATCTTCTTCATTGCCATAGTAGTGACTGTGGCCCTGAGTTGGTTGCTGTGAGGAAGTAAAAGACTTTCCTGAGCCCTTGGCTAGAAAGCATGTTTTTTTTTTTTTTTTTTTTTTTTTTTTTTTTTTTTTTTTTTCTGGAAAGTTCTGTAGGATACTTCTTGAAGAGTCATCAGGATGAGCTTCCAGACCCTACCCACACTCGTGCAGCTGGCGTTGCAGAGCCTGCTGAGAGTCGAGGCCTTGGCCATCTCTGCTGTGCAGGATCTGCCCTGGGTGCTGTTCCCACCAGTGTTCAAGGAGGCCTTCAACCACAGACAAACTAACATCCTGAGAGCTATGGTAGCAGTATGGCCCTTCCCCTGCCTCCCTGTGGGATCGCTGATGAAAAACCCCCACCTGGAGACCTTGCAGGCTGTGCTGGATGGAGTAGACTTGCTGCTCACACAGGTTTGGCCCAGGTGAGTGAGACTCAGGTAGTGAAGAAGGAGGTCTCTGGCAGTGCCAGGAAGAGATAACTGGGGTCAGGGAGAATAAGAGTAAAAATGGACCCGATACCTGATGGCATATTTTGCTGAACTGTAGCGGTATTGGCTATTGCTGAGCTATCTGGTAAGGGGCTCCTGGATATGGGGGACAGCTTAGAACAGATGCAGCCAAAGTGAAAAGAGCCTATCCACGCCTCCTCCCAAACTCAAACCAGAAGTGGGACCAGACTGGGTTCAAGGGTGATAGAATAGAGAGAATAAAATAAAGGGTTACAAAAGCCCATGTATGAAAACCTTTAAGCATTCCCCGGAAGCAGTGCACAAAGGGAACAGCTGACTTTGAGATGTGGACTAAAGCCAGAGGCTGAGAACCATGTTGGCCTGTCTTCTGAAACTGACACCTGTTTTAACTACAGGAGTTGTAAGCTAAAAGTGGTGGATTTTCGGGCCGTGAACCACAACTTTTGGCATGTATGGGGTGGAGCAGAAGATCATGCCTGCTCACCACAGGTCATAAGGAAGCAGCAAAAACTGGAGGACCTTCCAAAATCAGAGGAGAGACAGCCCTTGAAGATAATAGTAGACATTTGCCTCAAATTCTGCAGACTTGATGAGTGTCATACCCACTTGTTGCAGTGGGCCAAGCCAAGGAAGAAGTCCCTACAGTTCTGCTGCCCCAAGTTGCAGATGAAGGTATTGCCTGTCTGTACTATCATAGAGATCCTGAAAGTATTTGAACCAGACACTATCCAAGAGCTGGAACTGAATTCACGTTGGCGGCTGGAAGCCCTAGCACACTTTGCACCTTACCTAGGCCAGATGAGAAATCTTCAAAAATTCCTTATGGCAGGAGTCTATGTGGATCACTGTCTTAGAAAGACCTTTACAGAGATGGAGTATGTCCACAAGTTTCTCTCTCAGTTCTCCAAACTCAACTGTCTCCAGCATCTCTACATGAATCAGGTCTACTCCTTCAGTGGCCACATGGATCATTTGGTCAGGTAAGGAAGGGTGGAGAGCTAACTGTTTCTGTTACCACAGCAGACCTTTCTCGTTTGCAGTAGAGATTGGTGGTCGTGACAGATGGCCAGGAGGGTAGGCCAGAGCTGGGGTGGGTTGTGATTTCCTCCATAGGAAGTGTGTTTAAGCTAAGGGGATGAGAACAGGGAAGAGAACGGAGCACAGAAAGAAGCTAATACTCCTGCAGTTTCCAGGCCAGCAGCTGTGTCTGACTCTAATTCCCCAAGTGTGAAAAGCTGTTTTGAGCCCGGATGACATCTGAACAGGTGGTAAATGAGTGACATTGGAGTTGAGAGTAAGAGACAGAGAAGAAGTACTGTGAACAGGGACAGTGTTGTTCTTAGGATATAGGGAGTCATTGAACCCCACAGTTGGTACACCATGATAGGTCTTGGCTGAGTTGGTCCATCGTGTGTGTGTGTCCTTTTGGCCTAATGTAGACAGCACCATGGCTTTCTGAATATTAAAGCGAGTTGTAGAGCCATGGGCTGTACCAGTATCACAGTGATAGTTAGACCCCTTAGCCTAGAAGGGTAACTTGAGTCTGCTGACTCTCATAGGCAGTATCCTTGATACTGACCTCCAATATGTAGTCAGACTGACCTTTGATCAAGTGGTCCCCTCTACACAAGATAAACACTGCCAAGAACATGTTCCTATACCACTTGCCACAACTAACCTCTTGGTCTCTCTCTAGGTGCCTGAAGAACCCCTTGGAGACCCTGTCCATCACTCTCAGCCTAGTCTCACAGTCAGACTTAAACCTCTTACCTCAATGTCAGAGCCTTTGGCAGCTCAAACACCTGAATCTGAGTGGTATTCCATTATTTTTTTTCCATTTTAAGCCCATCCAAATTCTACTAGAGAGCATTACAGCCACTCTGCAGACCCTTGAATTTGAAGGCTGTGAGCTGAATGACTCCCACATCACTGCCCTTCTGCCTGGCCTGAGCCAGTGTTCCCAGCTCACCAAGATCAACTTTTACGGCAATGGCATATCCATGCTCGTCCTAGAGGACCTTGTGCATCGCACAGCCAAACTGAGGCAGCTGACCCATGAGCTATACCCTGCCCCTTTGGAGTGCTATGATAATGGTAGCCTCATTTTAGATAGATTTATCCAACTTTGTTCTTCACTCATGACTACACTACGGGCCATAAGGCAGCCTGAGAAGGTCAGCTTTGGTGCTGGAATCTGCTCTGGGTGTAATGAACGCTGTGTCTTTAGCCTGGAAATTAAACTATGTTCCTGCTGGCAGTCCGATTGAAAAAGTTACTCCTGGACACTGAGAAATGAAATCCAGGGGTTTCTTGTGTCATCAAGGGGGCACAGAGAAGTAGGCTTTAGGCACTGTTAAATTTCTTTGAAAGAAAAATAACACTGGATTTTTTTATTAGGAGTAGTCATGCTATAAGCTGGACAATGGTGGCTCACACCTTCAATCCCAGTACCTGGGAGGCAGAAGCAAGTAGATCTATGTGAATTCCAGGCCAGTCAAGGCTAAATAGTAAAAAAAGAAAAAGAGGTCGTGTTGACATAGAACAATGGCCCTATGGATATTGTTTTGTGACCATAAGGAAGACAAAAACACAATGAGACTGAAGCCCAAGAATCCTTAGCATCAAAATACACAGTCAGTCACATATTTTTGTTCTGTTTAGTGCATCATGTACAGACTTGAAAGCTGGGAGTAAGGCCCACTGGGCCAGTATGGAGGAGGAGCAGGAGACTGTGAGAGACCATCTGCCCATTGTGACATAAACCTTGTAAACTTGGTAAGACCTAGCATCATCAGGAGCGAGGTTTGGGTTTGTACTGAGAGACTGTTTCCAGAGAAATTTAGCTGAGGAAGAAAGGCTCACCGTAGTGTGGGTGGCACCACCCTGTGGGGTGTGACCCTGAAGTCAATTAAGAACAGAAAAGTGAGTAGAACATTCACATTCATCTCTTTCTTGACTGGACACTGCATGCCCAGCTGCCTCAGACTCTTGATACTGTGCCATTCTCTCCATGAACTGTGTCTTCTCCAACTGTAACCCAGACAAGCTCACACATCCACGAGGGCTGTGGAAAAGATAAACTGGAATGCAGCTGTGTAGATCTACTGCCGAGGGACTGGAGAGACATCTCTTACTGCTCTTTCAGAGGTCCTGAGTTCAATTCCCAGCAACCACATGGTGGTTTGCAGCCATCTGTAATGAGATCTGGTGCCCTCTTCAGATCTGCAGTCATACATGCAAGCAGAACACTGTACATAATAAATAAATCTTTAAAAAAAATTGCTGCCTCTACTTCTTGTATGGGATCGCAGGCATGTTCCACCATGCCTAGACCATAAGTTACATTTCTGTGGGGCTATACTGTTCCCCACCTCTAGCTGGCCACCTGAGCACAAAGGCCTCCAAACTGATGGGCAGATTTCCCTTGTGGCCTTCCTAAAGTATTGATTGGACCTCTGAACTTGTGGTGGGTTTTCAAGATCAGCTATTCCATTGAGATCACTGTCTGTCTTAGTAAGGGGAGTCAGTCCCTCATCCTGGTCATCACACTGCTCTGTGACCTTATACTTTTGTGGGAATGGTTTGGGAAGGGCACAATGTCCAGGTCTCTATGGACCTCTATCTGGCCTAGCACTCAAGATGATCCTACCTCAGCCTCTTGAGTTCTAGGACTACACATGCACCGGCAGGCTTGGTTCTAAATGGCTTTGTATCTTGCCTTTTTGCGATAAAAACTCAAGCCCACACTGGCCTCTAATTCTATGTAGCTAAACTTGTCATGGCATGGATACCTGAATCTTAAACCTCAGCTCCCCAACTCCTACAATTACAGATTGGTCAAACCAAGCCTGGCCAGATGTTTCCTCTTTCACAACTACCATCCACAGTTATCTGAAGGATGGAAAACCAAAAACCATCAGGGATATTGAGTAGGAGATGAAGCCTCTCAGTCTTCAGTGTGACTAGGGTCTGAAACTACTACACTCATGCAGACTTATTAATTTTTTTTTTTTTTGAGACAGAGTTTCTCTGTGTAGCTTTGGAGCCTATCCTGGCACTTGCTCTGGAGACCAGGCTGGCCTCGAACTCACAGAGATCTGCCTGCCTCTGCCTCCCGAGTGTGTGCTACCAACACCAGGCCAGACTTACCTTGTTTTGTTTTTGGTGTTTGTTATTTTTTTTTTTATTAGTTCAAATTAGGGACAAGCTTGTTTCACATGTCAATCCCTTCTCCCTCTCCCCCCCTACCTCCTACCCCAGACCTACCCCCACCCCATTCACCCTCCACTCCCCAGGCAGGGTAGGACCCTCGATGGGGGCTCCTCAAAGTCCACCACATCATCCTGGGCTGGGTATAGGCCCTTCCCCATGTGTCCAGGCCGAGAATGCATCCCTTCAAGTGAGATGGGCTCTCAAAGTCCCTTCTTACACCAGG